CATCGTTTATCTTCTGGAGTGGTTGTTCACTTTCAACAAACAAGGTTGTATCATTTGCATAATGCAGAATATTGATGATTTTCCTTCAAACCGGATGCCACATTCTTCTTCATATAGTTCAGCTTCTTGAATGAGTTGCTCCATATACAGATTGAATAGATAAGGAGAAAGAATATAACCATTTCCAGAGATGCACATCTTTTCTGATTTTATAACATACAGTGTCCCCTTGTTGTATTCAGACAGCAGATTCTTGGATTGGTATAGGTTTTTTATGAACACAATTTAGTGTTCTGGGATTTCCATTCTTCTCAATATTAGCTAAAATGTATTATGATCCACACAGTCAAATGTTTTTGCGTAGCCAGTGAAAGACATGTAAATACCTTTCTGGTATTCTCTACTTTCGGCCAAGAACCATCTAACATCAGCATTGATATTCCTTATGCCATGTCCTCTTCTGAATCCAGTTTGAATTCCTCATAGTTCTGCCGATATACTGTTTTAAAAAATCTTCAGCAAGATTTTATTTGCATATAATGATAATGATATTGTTCAATAATTTTTGCATTCTGTTAGGAATGTTGTTGCATTTTGGGGGAATGAGAGCAAGCTTCTTTTCCAGTCATTTGGTTAGGTAGATGTCTTCCAGGTTTCTTGACATACACTAGTGAGCACATCCAGATCACATCTATTTGTTGAAGCATTTCTCTTGGCATTCTATCAATTCCTGGGGCCTTCTTTTTTACCAATGCCTTTAGTGGAATTTTCCCTTCATTCTCATTGGTTATGCTACTTCCTGAAATGGTTCAATATCAACCTGTTGTTTTTGTCACAATCATTCTGTATTTTCTTTCCTGCAGCATTCTAGAGTTAGTCCATAGAATCCTTCAGAATTGCAACTGAAGGCTTAAATGTATTTTTCAGTTCTTTCAACTTTAAAAATGCCTACTGTGTTCTTCTTTCTTTAATTTTCTGAATATTTGTTCTAGTATTTTGCATTTTCTCAAGTTGCCTTTGAAATCTTCTGCTCTGCTGTTTTACTCTGTCATTTCTGCCTTTTATTTTTGCCTCGAATATGTTCCAGTGGAACGCTTCTCATTTTGGTGTTTTTGTTTGTGTGTTTTTTGGGGGGGTTCTTCTTTCTCTTTTGCCTTTGTAACAGCCATTTGCTTTCTCAGTGCATGTTATCCTTTTTCTCATCCTACAAATCATCTGGTCTTCAGTCATTAGTATTCATAGTCATATAATATAGTCGTAATCATAGTGAATAAAATGAAATGGATTTTAAATTCAGATCAGATGGATGCCAACCAAAGATTGTCTTTTGGTTCTTATGGATTTTTAAAAATTGTCTTCAACTCTAGTTTGCACATGATAGTTTGTTTCAGTCAGTCCCTCCTCTGGTTTTGACTGCTGATATTGGCCTTCATCATCTATTTTTCTACAGATATAGTCAATCTCATGTGTGCGTAGAGAGGTCTATGTGTACAGTTACTATTTGTGTTTTTCTAAAAAGTTGTTTGCTATGAATAAATCATTGTACAAAATTCAACCATTTGCTCTCTAGACTCATTAATGTAACCACCTTCATGTTTTCCAAATGCTAGTCCGTCTCTCCTTTTTTTTTTTTGCATTCCAGTCACAAATTATTAATGCATCTTGATTCCACATTCTCATGGAAGAAATGCTGAACTCCAAGGGAATCCTGATCATTTCTTTTTAAGTTTTATTTAATTCATTCAAACACATTCTCTTCAGTGGGCTTGATATTCACAGAGTAGTTATCACGGTGTTGGTTGGTAAAGCAATGTACTGTTTCCTGTGTGTTTAGAGACTCAAAAGTTATAAAAACTCTGTCCTGTAATGTATTTTTTCAAAATATGCTTTGATAATGATGTAAAAAAAAGTAATCTAACGGCTGTGGATTTAGCAAATGGGTCAGAATACTCCCTCTGGAAGATTATTAAGATTGAGCATCAGATGAATGGAAATCTGCATCTGAAACCATTTATTGTTTAGATTATTACTATTGAGTGCCTCTGACCCAGATAAATTTGACAAAAAAAAAAAAAATAAAAGAAACTAATCTTCATTATATACTAATCAAGGGTTTTGTTAGTCTTCTGAAAGTTGTAGATTTTGTTAGATGCTTTTTTTGGGTTTATTTTTCTTTGTAACTGAAGGGCAAGTTACCAAAAATAACTGAATAGTTGATCAGTCCTGTATTGATATAAATGTACTAAAGTTTGACTAAAAAATGACAGGTCTAAGAAATTCATTGTCTATGTCCATTGAGAGATGAATGGATACACAAAATATGATGTATCTATAAGACAGAGTATCTTTCAGCTATGTTGTTGTTATGTGCCACTGAGTCGCCTGTGGCTCATAGCGTCCTTATGTACAACAGCCCAAAACCCTGCTAATCCTGTGCCAATCTTATTGTCTCTGACACACCTACCCCCATTACCCCAGTGACGGAATCAGTCCATCTTATCGAAGGTCTTCTTCTCCTGTGTTGTCCCTCCACCCTCCTAAGTATGACATCCCTCTCCAAGGACTGATCCCGCTTTGCAACATGTCCAAAATATGTCAGACAAAGCTTCAGAATCCTTGCCTCCAAGAAGCAGCCTGATCTCACCCTTTCTAGAATGAACCTATTTGTTCTCTTAGCAGTCCATGGTATATTCAATACTCTTTGCCTGCACCACAGCCCAAAGACATCAATTTTCCTTCTACCATCCCTAGTCATTGTACAACTTTCTGAGGCATAGCAAGTAATTGCAAAGACTGTAGTCTGGATCACATGAACCTTAGTCTAGAGACTGACATTGTTGCTATCCATTACTTTGGAGAGGTCTCCGACAGCAGACTTTCCCATTGCAATTCATCTTTTAATTTTTGGTCTTCTGATACCAAGAGTGGTGATTGTGGAGCCAAGCAAACTAAAGCTGTTAACAATCTCAATCTCTTCACTAGCTATCATGATGCTGCCAATTGGCCTTATGGTGAAAATCTTTGTTTTCTTGATGTTGAGCTTCAATCCATATTGAAGGCTGTAGTCAAGGACTTCTGCAGCAAGCACTTCAGGTCTTCCTCAGTTTCAGCAAGCAGGGTTGTGTCATTTGCATAACACAAATTGTTGATGAGTTTTCCTTGCAGCTATCAGATAATTAAATATGTGCTACAAAACAAATAAACTTTAATCATTCTACTAAATGAAGTAAATCAATCACAGGAGGATGAAATTTGCTTTTACCAGATGACTTAACTATCTAGTAGTACTCTAATAGAGATAGTGCAAGTAGATAGCTTTAATAACAGAAATTTATTTTCTTACAGTTTAGGAGACCTTACATCCAAGTCTGGATGCCAAAACTAGGGAAGTTCCCATTCTTCCTCTCTCTGTCAATTGTGAAAGAAAGTTCCTGAAGGAAAGCAAAAAAGTTACCTGTAGGCCTAGTGATCTCTGAAGACCTCCATATCTTCATAGTGCAGGAATCTGAGCCCAAAAAGACACATTCCTTCTTCTTTCTGTGGGCACCTCTCAACTTGTTTCCCTCTGCTTTTCCCTCCAGCAAGATAAATGGTACTATAGACCACACTCTGGAGGAATTCTCCTTGTACCTAATCAGCTTCCATATGACACCATTACATATACATGTATTTTAGGGGACACAGTTCAGCCCATGACATCTCACTTATATGAAATACTCAAAACAGACAAATGTACAGTGATACATGTTTAATAGGGTTACAAGGAGTGTGTGGGGAGAGGTGAGAGATACTAAATTTTTGTTAAGGATGATGAGGACAATTGGAAACAGTTTGTTGGCATCTAGGTTGCTTTATAACATGCTGTACTATGTACCTCGAGTCAGAACTAATTCATATCTAACCCACCAGTGGTTTTTCAGAGGCAGCAAAGCACATGGAAAAAGAGTGCCCCTCTTTTTCTCTATGAGCAGCCAGTAGATTTGAACCATGTGCCTTTTGATTCGCAGCACAACTCCTTACCACTAACATACCAAAGCCCCCTGTTGTATAACATAGTCAATGTAATTTGTATCACTGAATTTCCAACATAAAACTAGTTTAAATGCCAAGCATTTTGTGATGCATATTTTACTATGTTTTAAGATACAAGTTTATAATAGTTAATTATATAAACCACAATATGATCATGTGCAAACCAATAAAATTTGAGTATTTTCTGTATATCCAGATGCCACATCGTTGCCAGCCAGAATATGTATAAATGACTGTGATGGAAGAGGATTGAGTGAGTTTGCAAGCACCTGGGGAAGATATGATCTCTGGTAGACTATTGTTCGAGAGTTGCACTGCAACTCAAGTGTAGGCAGATCAAAACCATCTCCTAGGAAGAAGGATGGGCAATTTACTCCCATGAGATTTACAACCTCTGAAAACTCACTAGAGTATCAAATATGAATTGATTCCAACTTGATGGCAGTGAGTTAACTGTGAGAACTCAGGCATAATCAGGGCCACCAGCTGGAAAGAATTGTGGATTTTTCAGAGGGCTGCAGTTTGGCCAACATAAGGAGAGTTAAGTCCCTGCTGCTTTGAGGATATTGTTCATTCCCTCATAATACGAAAGGAACTGAGGTGGTACATATTACCTAAGGGAGCATCTGGATGACTAAGTAGCTATTTGTCATTGGAATTAGTAAATATTCCAGTGGTAAAAATGTAAATTATACCCTGGAATCACTCTGGTTATAAAACTACATTATTACTTGCTGTTGTTGTTGGCATTATTATGTACCACGAAATCAGAATTGCCCCATACCTGACCCTCCAGTGGGTTTTTATGAGGCAAATCACACAGGGGCCATAAACCCATCTTTCTCTGGCAGAGCAGCTGGTGGGTTCAAACTGTGTACCTTTGGGATTGCAGCATAGCTTCTTGCCACTAGACTACCCAGCACAATAGAGTTAAAGTAACTAAGTTACATCTTTCCTTTGTTTCCTAGGAATCTGAGAAAAAGGGTTTAATTGAAAGAATCTATATGGTACAAGATATTGTTTCAACTGTTCAGAACATCTTGGAGGAAATCGCTTCTTTTGGAGAAAGAATTAAAAAGTAAGTTCTAAGTCATTGTTTTGGTGCTTAAAATAGAACTGTTCACCCATAAGTCCAGGCAGTGGGGTGGGAAAAGTGGGATCATATATGGGGATTAAAAAAGGGAGCAGTGCTTGCAAGTCCTGTTTGACTTTGGAAGGCTAATGTTTTGGGGCTTGTCAACCTCACAGGTGGGCAGTGTCTCCGAAGGAGGGTGGCCAGATGGCCTGATTTACACCAATTGTTTCAATGCAATTATACATAGTGCCCTTTGCATTCTCCAAAAGATTCCCATTTAGGTGATAAATTATGGTTACCCTCCTCAGAAATGAAAAGGAACCTAAGAATACTCTAAATGACGCTGGGTCCGCATGTGTTTTCCATTCTCCAAAGACTGACACATGCATAGTGCCATCATGGGTGCATAGATAGGAAGCTTTTTTTTATTATGTATGTGAATGCCTTTGGGAAGGAGTTGACAAATTGTTCCTGTACAGAGAGCAAATATGGTAAGCTTGGTGTCATGTAATTTCTGTAGCAACTTCTCAGTTCTGTCATTAAATTGTCAAAACAGACATAGATGATATGTAAATGAACGGAAGTGACTGAGTTCCAGTAAAACTTTATTTGCAAAAACAAGTGGTAGGTGGCATTTGACCCAAATCCAACCTGTATTTACTGCCAACTGGGTCTCAAAACGAAATTATCTTGGAGAGCTTACATGAGAAAGGCTGTTTTTACCATTCAAGGAGTTTGTTTCATTTTACGTGATGTGAACTCTATGTATGTGTTTTTCATCTGGTGCCACTGAATAAAACCAAACAGAATTTGCTGTTATCAAACTATCCTGACTCTGAGCCACCTTGTAGGACAGCCTAGCCCTGTCCCATAGGGCTTATCCCCAACAGCTTGCATTGTGCAGATGGTACATCCTTCTTGAAGAAACTGAAGAAAACTTGAAGCATTTACTGCAGAAAACCAAAGACTACAGCTTTCAATACAGATAAAATCTCAGCATCAAGAAAACAGAAATCCTCACCACTGGGCCAAGAGACACAGCCTTATAGTTGGAGAAAAAAGATTAAACACATCAACGATTTAAATCAATATCCATGGTAGCAGCAGTCAAGATATGAAAAGACATGTTACATTGAAGAAATTTGATGTTACGATCCTCTCCAGAATGTTAAAGAGCAAGTATATCAGTTTAAAGACTAAGGTGAGCCTTTTAGAAGCCATGGGCTTTTCAGTTGCTTCCCATGCATCTGAAAGTTGTAAAGCAGGTGAGGATAACTAAAGAAGAATCAATGAATTTGAACTATGGTGTTGACAAAGATTATTAAATATACCATGGACTCCATGGTCTGCCAAAAGAACATACAATTTTGTTTTAAAAGAAGTACATTAAAATAAATAAATAGATAGATAGATATAGATATAGAGATATATATGTATGTATGTATGTGTGTGTGTGTGTATATATATATATAAATTTTAAAAAAAGAAGTACAACCAGCATGTTACTTAAGAGGCAAAGATGATAAGAGAAAGTTTGTCTCATTTACTTTGAACATATTTTCAGAAGGAACCTCTCCTTAAAGAGAGGCATCTTACTAGGAGACATCAGTGAAAGAGAAGAGGACCCCAAGGAGATGGATTGGCATAGTGACTAACACAGTGGCCTTGCAAAGGACAGAGGTCATGAGGCATCCCAGGATAGGAAAAGGTTCAGATCTGTTGTTTATAGGGTCACTATTAGTTATAGTTGATTTGATGGTATATAACAACAACAATATGTTTTCCAAGTTTGTGATCTTTACAGAAGGAGAATGTCTCATTCTTTCCCCACTGGAGAGACTGATGGTTTGAAACAGATACTTGATGTGGGAGTGTTTTCTTTTGATTACTTTTTTCCTTTGCAATATTCCAAAATACTAATGAGCAATAATGTCACTCTAGAGACTGAAGTCTGTCTGATACAGGCCATGGTCTTTGCAGTCACCTTCTATACATTAGAGAGCTGGACAGTGACTAGGGAGGATAGAAGAAAAATTGATGCCTTTGAGCTGTGGTTCTGGAGAAGAGTATTGAATGTACCATGGACTGCTAAGAAAATGAACAGGTTCATCCTAGAGAGGGTGAAGCCAGGCTGCTCCTTGGAGGGAAGGATTCTGAGGCTTCGTCTGACATATTTTGGACATGTTGTAAGGAGGGACCGGTCCTTGGAGAGGGATATCATGCTTGGGAGTGTGGAGGGACAGTGCAGGAGGAGAAGACCCTCTATGAGGTGGATTAATTCAGTGACTGGGGTAATCGGGGTGGGTGTGTCAGATACAGTGTGATTGGCACAGGACAGAGCAGGGTTTAGGGCTGTTGTACATAAGGTCACTATAAGCCACAGGCAACTCGATGGCAAACAACAACAACAACAAAACTCAAGTGTACCTTTCTCTCCTTAAGTCTAAGATAATTGCATAAGCCTGATTTTCTTTCTATGGGCTAGTTAATACTTGTCCTATTTGTTGGTCATACCTGTGGATATCATCTTAACTTTTAATGTAAAAGGTTTATACGGACAGAAAACATATACTTACATACTTTATGGTTTAAGAAGACAATGTGAAAAAATGAACAAAAGTTTTGACTAATAAAATATGGGGAAAGGCCATAAATTTGAAAGCTTAAACACCTAATGTAGAACTTTCATTATGAATACTGTGTTTCTAAATACATTGTGTTTCTTAAGTTGCATATTAAAATTAAATTTCCCTTGAAGGATAATTTTAATACCAACATAAGGAACATGGCTGTTTGGTTTTCTACAATTAGTAAAAAGAATACTTTTAAGCCAATTTTGTCAGTTTTTATTGAATTTCTCCTTTATCCTTCTCATTATCAGTATCTTGTTAGAAGAAAGTTTAAAAAGTTATAGGATTTTTCACTCACATGTATACATGTGGATCTACTTTTTCCTCTAGGTTTCAAATAAACTGACAAATGATCATGAGTTTATCTTTCAAAATAGCTAATAAAGAGTAGTGAAAGTATGTTGATGATAAAGGAATCCTAATTCTTTATTCATTTCTTCACTTGTCAGTTATTGAGTGTCAAGGTGACAGGCCTAGAAAAGCAAACTATTTCAATAACAGCAGTGATATGTCCCACCGTGTGACTGCGTAGGTGCCTTTCTAAGCCCTTTACATGTCATAGCCCTTTTACTCATTCTAACAACAGTACTGTATAAAGATTATATCTGCATTTTACAGTTGAGGAAGCCAGAGGACAGTGTTTAAATGTATAGTTCAAGGTCACAGGACTGGTGAGTCATTGATTTGGACCCTACTTCAATACTGTGCCATGATGCCATAGTCTTGTGAAATACTTTTTTTCCCCCACAGAGAGAGAAAAATAAGTAATTGACAATCAGAGTTCAAGGGCACTGTTGTTGCTGCTTCCCATCAAGTTGAAACAGACCCATAGCTGACCATCCAGTAGGTTTTCAGAGGCAGTAAATCACATGGGAGGAGATCAGCCATCTTTCTCCCTCAACAGAGGCCCTAGTGCTCAGTAAAGAAACCCAGGATGAGCATTTGTTTGCTAACGTAGAAGCAGTCAACTCAGGATAGTCAGGCCCACCCAAAAACTCCACAGAGGAAAGACTTGGCAGTCTGCTTCTAGCCTAGGAAATCCCACAGGGTACTTGAACTCTGTAGCCTAAGGGGGCTGTGTGTTGAAAATTGACTTCTCTGCTGTTAATCTTGTTGATTAACAACAAAGATAGGATGTTGAAGAGCTGTAGAAAAGGACCAGGTAACAGAAGAAAGAACTAAAAAGTAATAACTTATCCTCATCTCTAAGAATAAGAAGAGATGGCTTAGCAGGGCATTGTTTAGAGAGGTTTCAGATGATGGCAGTCCCTTGTGAAAGACTCAAAACCCAGTGGAGTAGATGGCGATGTACATAATCTAGGTAAGTGTCTGTCAGGGGGTCCCTGTGTGATACAAATGATTAACACACCTGATTGGTAATCAAAAGGTTCGAAATTTGAGTCCGCTCAAAGGTGCCTTGGATGAAAACCCTGTGGGGTACAATTCTCTCTGGCACCCATGACGTTTCCTGGAGACTGAACTGAATGGAATGCGCTTCTTTATTTCTGTGTGGCTGGTCTTTGCTTTGTTTTTTGGTATGGTAGATAATGGAGACTGATAAACTTGGAGTAGATCCAGAGCATGCAGGGTCTGGAGTGGAAGGAAATAATATTGGCAGCAAGGAGAGAGGATGTGCGGAGTGGGGGTGAGACCAAGGAAGGAAGGATGTGCTCTTTGGTAAAACTGTCCCTGTGCTGGACTGTCTCTAATAGAAAAAGGCAGCTGTTGTGCAGTCGATAATGGTAAAGGAAATGTGTCTGATGAGAAGAGAGAACAGAGTGATTCAATTAGGCCCCCAATGCCGCAAGTGCATTTGAGGGTGGCTGTGCCCAGCACAGCTGTGGTGGCCATGGCTGAGGCGTGTTTTCAGCCAATGAACAGGGCACTGTTCTTCCCAGCTGCATCTTAGGAAGGCTCATGAGGCTCAATTCCTATTAATCCTTTGGCCATTCATTATTGCAGTGACCTTCAAGTTCCTGCTGGGCATTCAAGTGGGACGTCATGTGTAACTCTGCTGGAATTCCATTGTAATTCAATGCTGAAGAAGGAGGAAAAGTTGTACCCTACTTTTGGCAACTGGCAAATAAATAGACTGACTTAAATAAAACCCCCAGAGCACAAGGCTTCCTTGATAGGGGCTGGGAGGATTCCAGGACTATCATAATGGTGTGGGCCAGACTGCTTTGTATTTTCCCTATCATACCTTATCTAATTTTAGAGGTATTTTCAGTTTATGCATGTGTCAAATAAAAACATTTAATCAGCAGTATAGCCTGCATAGTTACTAGGCATGCACATTGGTATCTCAGTGATAGAATTTGCACATTCTTTGTGGGAATCTCAGGTCTGATATGCAGCCATTGCCCCTCCTTA